TAATGTTTTCTTTATTACCTATTGTCATTATCGAAGTAGTAGCTGTTGTTGTAGTAGTAGTAATTGTAGTGGTAGTTGTTGTAGTAGTGGTAGTAGTTGTTGTTGTTGTAGTATTAGTATTAGTTTTAATAGTGGTAAAAGTAGTAGCTATTATCGTTTTGTTGATGTTGTTGTTGCTGTAGATGTTGTTGTGATGTTTTTGTTGTGGTTTTTATTGATGATGTTGTTGCTGCTGATGTTGATGTCGTTGCTGATGTTGTTGCAGATGTTGATGTTATTGTTGTTGATGTTGTTGTTGATGTTGTTGTTGCTGATGTTGTTGCTGCTGTTGTTGTGGATGTTGATGCTGTTGTAGTAGTTGTTGTTGTTGATTCAAATGTTTCTTGGAGTGAGATTTCAAGTGATCTGATCTAGAAAAGGACTTCAGGCATACCTGACACGTAAATGGCTTTAGGCCTGCAAGTAATGGATGAATGAATGAATGAATGGAAAAATGAATGAATGAATAAATAGATGGATATGAATGATTGAATGGATGTGAATGAATGAATGGATGAATGAGTGAGTGAACGAAAAAGTGTAAATGAATGAACAATTGGATAGAGAAGTAAGTTTATTGAAGGAATTGTTGAAAGTTATTCACAAAAAATAGCCCACCGGTGTGCTTCCGATCGTGCCTCTTCAGCTCATCCGACCTGGCAAACCTCCATTCACAGCCCTCTCTGGTGCACGAATAAGGCTTCTCCCCTTTGTTAATAATAATAATAATAATTATTATTATTATTAATGTAATTTATCATAATTTATTTAACAAATAATTTTAATTCACACTTAGGCATCTCCCAACTACTGGAAAGATTGCAGATCGAGGCCAACAACAACAAACAACATTCGTCAAGTCCTCGGGTCACTTGTTGATTATTACCACATTTCAACTCTTGAAAAGTGTTAAAGATCGGGTTTTGGGGAGGTCAGGGGTCGCCAATGTCATTAAAGGATAGAAGAAGATAGACACACAGCGTATGTTAATGCGCTGATGAGCGAGGTTTTCTTTGCTTTCGAAACCGGCCACTCTGACTGCAGTACCAGGCACCTGAACCGCTACACTATCGCGCTATTATTCATGGTAATTACATTAAATAAATTAGCAGAGGTAATTTAAAATAATTAACCTGTGTGCGTTCTTAAATGAGTCTTCAAGTGCGAATTTTTAGTATATGTCTTGCTGCAGTTCTCAAAAGGGCACTTATAAACCCTCTTCTTTAATTGGTCGGCTAGGATGACGTCATAATTATTGTTATTGTTGTTTTCCGTTGTTGTTTTGGGAGCTTTCCGGTCTTTCGAAAGGCATGGCGACGACGAGTTCGAGGATGTGTTGGACGCCGGCTCTCTGCAATGGTTGGCAGACGCGTTGTCTGCCGAATTTGACAATTTCATAAAATTGAAATAAATTTGAATTTATTATTATTAGTAGTAGTAGTAATAGTAGTAACAGTGGTAGTAGTAGTAGCAGCAGCAGCAGTAGTGGTTGTAGGAGTAATAATAATTATTTTAAATTACCTCTGCTAATTTATTTAATGTAATTACCATGAATAGCAGACAGACTAACGTATGACGAAAATAAATAAGAAAACTTGAAAAAGAAAGTTTAAAAATTAAAATAAATAAAATATAAATAAAAACCTGTGCAGTGGCTATTGATGCCGCTACTACTACTACTACTACTATTGTTATTATTATTATTATTATTACTACTACTACTACTATTACCGCCACCACTACTACTACTATCACCAGCGAACATCCTTTTAAACATATTCCCGAAGCGTTTTTTGGTAGCGGGATTCTGGGATTGTTGGGAAGATGAGGATGATGGAGACGGAGTAGAAGCGTCGACATTGGCGACAAAAACGTTACTAGACGTCGGTAAGATACTGCAGCGGCTGCTGTTCGATATGTGGCGCATTGCGAAAGGCCTTTTAAATCTCGGTACTACTTCGGAAATGTTGTTGCTGTTGTTGTTGTTGCTGTTGTTGTTGATGTTGTTGTTGATGTTGTTATTGTTGATGTTGTTTCTGTTGTAGCTGCAGCTGCTACTACTGATGTTATTGTAGCCGCTATTGATGTTTTCGTTGATGTCATTGATGCAATCGTTGCTAGATAGAAGCTGATGAGACGACGACGACGACGATGGTTGTGGCTGCGGTGGTAGCGGTTCTCGCTCTTCATCGATCTCTTGCAATTTTGATTGGTTTCTTAAATAGCTAAAATTTGTTTGCTGTTGTTGTTGTTGGGAATAATAATAGTTATTATTATTATTATTGTTGTTGTTGTTGTTACGAAATAATTGCTGTTGTGACATTAACTTGTTGTAAAACATTGGATATTGATGTTGTTGTTGTTGTTGCTGTTCTTGCTTCCAATGAAAGAGTGGCGGATCACTACTATTACTGTCCCATGAAACGGCCGAGTTGGACGAGCTGGAGCTGTTAATCGTATCGGTGATGTACAGTCTCGACAGACCGTCGGATGGGCTCGGTATCGGGTTGTCTTTGAATAAATTATCACAAATTATGTTAATTAGGATTATCTTTGAATAAATTATCACAGTTTGGATTGTCTTTGAATAAATTATTACAATAAATTATGCTATTTATGGTAGTCTTTGAATGAATTATCACAATAAATTATGTTAATTAGGATTATCTTTGAATAAATTATTACTATAAAGAGTTGTGTTTGAATAAATTTTCACAATAAATTATGTTAATTAGCTTGCGATTTGTTAATTGTGGGTGGAGACACACAAAAACTACGTGGACAAAAACAGACATTTGGATGGCTATACAGCTCTGGACTTCAAGGTGAAACAGAAAGTCTTCTTATGGCAGCTCAAGATTAGGGATATTCGAAATTTTTGGTCCCGGGGTTTTTGGTCCAGGAGTTTTCGGTCCCAGATTATACAGCGCTTTTTCGGGGCTAGGGTTATGGACAGAAAAACATGGCATGGATCCCCCCCCTTTGCCTCATTTTTGCCTTTTCCCAATTACACGAATGTTGCTGGAAAGGAAATTGAAAGACTGAGCAAATATAAAGACCTTGAGATCGAAATTTCACGTATGTGGAAGACACAAAAACAGGCGTGATCCAAAAAGTAGTTGGTGCAATGAGAAGAGTACATCAGGGGCTGCAGAAACATCTCAATGAACTGTCTGGAAAGGAAAGTGTTTCTTAAGTGAAGAAGATAGCCCTACTCGCCACCGCCAACATACTTCGAAAGTTTCTAATGTCAGGAAACTAAAATCCTACACCTCAGGAATCCGCTGGGCTCCCAGTAGACACCTTCAAAGTGACTGAGGAAAATAGTAATAATAATAACAGCAATAACAGCAGAAGAAATCTATCTAACCACTCAAAGGCGAAAGCGAAGCTTGATTACAGTAACTATAAATATTATTATAATTGTAATGATTATTATTATTGTTGTTGTTGTTATTATTATTATTATTATTATTAGAGCTGGGTGCTCCGAAGACCGTCTCTTCGACATTTTGAATCGGGCTCGTCGGTGATGATGGTGATGCTAGCGGGGAGCAAGTTATATTTCTGTTGCTCTGTCTATAATAATTATAATTAATGTTGCTATAATTATTATTATTATTATTGTTGTTGTTTTTGCTGTTGTTGTTGTTGATGTTGTTTGCATTGCTACCAATGTTGTTACAACTGTCTTGTTTGTTTTTATTGTCGTAATTATTAATATGATTAATATTTATATTGTTGTTGTTGTTGTACTTCTCAAAGAAATGCGATATATTATTTTGAGGCAACGCGCTTAGATCAATTTTATCGCTATCCTCATTATTATTATTGTTATTAACGTTGTTGTTGTTACTGTTGTTGTTGTTGTTACTGTTACTGTTGTTGTTGATGTTGTTGTTGCTGCTGCTGCTGCTGTCACCAAGTTTCTTGAAGGCCATCAGTTTCGGCTGGTCACTACTTTTGAGGTAGCGCGACATCTCGGCACAATTCTTTGGGAAAAAAAATTAATTTAACTAAATTTAAATATAATAAATTAATATTAACAAAATATATTACTATTAATTAATGTTATTATAATTATGAAATACTATTAAAAGGTGTGCCCTGACAAACATGACCGGGAGACATTTACTAGTGGGGGGTTGAAACTAAAAATTTTATCTTGGGGCTAGGTATTTGAACCTCTTTCCGTGAATTTCACATTCAAAACAGTGTTCTTATGTGAAAAAAAGGTTTCCTAAGCAGTATATGCTGGTCGAATTAAAATATTTTAAATAATTTTTATTGAGACTTTTGATATAAATTACGGAACTAGAACTTTGTAAAAAAATTATTCTAGTTTCGCTACTACGACTGTTGCTTCTACCACGACTACTGCTGCTTCTACTACTACTACTGCTGCTGCTACTGCTACTACTTCTGCTACTACTTCTATTGTTATTACTGTTTTTACTACTGCCGACTGAATCAACCAGGCAGTTATTGTTACGAACTACGTACTATAGTTCAAATTTTTGGGAATGTGGAACTGACATAGTGAACTAAGCCGGTAGTTTTATACTGTATTTATACAGTGGCGATTTTAATGGGGCCGGATCGGGCCTTGGTTAGTCTAAATTTAGTCACACTAGTACAAATTAGATTAGCTTCTTGGCCCATTCCCCGTCAAAGTTGTCTAGACCGGATGTCGGGATGGTTGGCTGATTGAAATGAC